GAACATTTAAAAGTCCACATATTTTATAGCTTGCATGCTTTATCAGAGGCTTTCTGAAGTTGGACAATCATTCCAAAATGATTGTTGGGTTATCAAATTACATATTGGGTTATCAAAGAAGCTTTTTCTAAAATCTCAGTAACAAAAACTAATGTTGGGCCTGAAACAGTAGCCTTGCAGCTAAAGTCCTTGTCTTGCAAACGCCAGGATCCCATATGGGCACCGGTTCTAATCCTGGTAGCCTCGCTTCTCATCTAGCTCCCTGCTTGTGGCTTGGAAAAGCAGGGAGCCTGCACCTGTGTGGGAAACCCAGAAGAGGCTCCGGGCTCCTAGCTTAGGATCAACTCAGTTCCAGCCAGTACAGCCACTTGAGCAGTGAAATCAATGGATAGAAGATCTTCTCTGTCTCTCCTCCTCTCTGCATATTTGACTTTCCAATAAAAATGAAATAAATCTCAGAACAAAAAAACTAATGTTGATACACTGTAATCTCTGCTCTGTGGAAATTCTATCACCAAACTATTTCCACATGAAGCAAAGATCAAAAAACGCAGAGTAAAGCTTTACAAAGGCTCATAATGTCAAGGCAAGCCAAGGAATTAAGACTACATGAGCGGTAAGGGCCACATAATGAGTGAGACGTCTGTTAATATTGGAAACATGTCAATTGTTGTGCTTTTTCTCACCTATAATTTTTTATTTTTGGTTCAATTTTGTACGATCTCTTAAGGAGGAATCCCAAAGTCCGATAAGCTTGAATTCCCACAAAGCCAAGATCTGTCCTTCATAGAATTCTCATCTTTCTGAACTCCTTGTTTTCGAGTTTTAATCCTCAACTACAGGTTTGCTCCTTCTGGCAATGGAGCAAAAGAATACCAGAACTGAAAAACAGGCTTTCACAACTCCAACCAAAGACCCGTTTAGGCAAGACCTCATGCTAACACCAAGAGATATAAGGTTACTGCAAACTCTCTATATGCTCTCCCAGTGTCACATTATAGATTACTTGCTAACTGCAATGGCATAAATGTGCCCTTACAATGGAGACCATCTTGAGCAAGTGAGTCAACACATCCTTCCTAATAGAGGGAGAAACCAATGTGTATATTCTGTCTGACGCGACCCAAGTAGAGCGCATGTCACCTTTATGGGATGTTCTTGCTGCCTCCAACTCAGTCTAAAATGAATCAAGCCTTCACACCTAACTCCCAGGCTCCAGAAATGCAAGAGCAGAGGGACAAGCTAAATAACTCCACCAGAAACAAGCAGATAGATCGAAAACACAGGTCAACAAAATATAAAACGAGACCAGATCTCTTAAAAATACCATGAAAAAATAAACAGCATCACGATTTTTCTAGAGTAAGTGATAACAAAGAAATATAATAATAAAATTCAATATGTGAGCTCTGGTCCCTGGTCCTGCCTCACCCCCAATTCCCTGCCAACACAGCTATGTAAGACATGTTGACACTAGAGAAATCTGAATATGCTTCAATTACTAGATAATGTTGGGGAGTTAGGTCCATTTTCTTCAGTACAATGATAGGTTAGATAACAAGTAACAAAACTCAGTGAGACTACAGTAATTAGTTTTAGCCAATCTGCAATATAGTGACTACAGTCTACAATAATTAATGATGCATTTCAAAGTAACTATAAAGACCAAAGGTTTCCAATACATATAAATGATACATGTTGTAGAGAACGCGAATGCTAGTTATCCTGGCTTGGATCATTGCACATTACATACACTCTCACTTTATCACAAGGTGTCTGTAAGTATTACGAAAACAGAGGCATCAATTCAAAATACAGAAGGCACTAAGAATGTGGTTATGAGAAAGAATATTTTAGCAGCTACATGTGGAAATTTGTAATGACACAGCTATGATAACATCAAAATGGTCTTGCAATTTGCCCTCATCCTTAAAATTTCTTCTAATGAAAAAAAAATTGTCACAAAGATAAACATATTTTCCTCTCATTTGATCAACCTAATCAAAAAGTTTTCAACAGAATCAAAGAAAGCACCCTTGCCAAACATTAGCAACAAGACAGTACCCCAACCTAAGGGGTCTGTGTTTCCAGAAGTGCTGCAATGCACCAAGACTCCCCCAGGACTCCCACACAGTCAGGTCCTGTTAAATGTTGATGAGGAAGCTACAGGCACTTTACTTTACAAAAGTAAATAATGGCTGACAACCCGGCAAGGTAACATAGCAGCTGAAGTCCTCCCTTTGCATGCACCACAATCCCATATGGGCACCTGGATTGCGTACAGGCGCCGGTTCTGATCCTGACAGCCCCTCTTCCTGTCCAGCTCCCTGCCTGTGGCCTGGGAAGGCAGCTGAGGATGGTCCAAGACCTTGGGACCCTGCTTTGCACAGGAGACCTGGAAGAGGCTCCAGGCTTCTGGCTTTGTGTTGGCTGTACTCTGGCTGTTACGGGCTACTTAGGGAGTGAATCAGTGTACAGAAGATCTTCCTCTCTGTCTCTCCTCCTCTCTGTATTTTTGACATTTCAATACAAGATAAATAAATGTTTAAAACAATAATGGCTGACTTATACTGGGTTTAGAAAGAAAGGGAAGTTACATTTAATTCTTTGTAAGGAAAGTGCACATTTCCAGTGACTTTTACCATGTTATAAAGCATTCTGATATGAGTTATCTTTTCTATTTCACAGATGAGGGAAAAGCAGCCAGCAGACTAGCTTGTGTGCCTTCCTTCCTCGACTGGTGTGCAAGCCCTTGTCCTCTCACACTTGGCCACTGTCCTATAACTCTTGGGACATTCATTTTTCTGAGCTTCAAGTTCCTGCCTAGATGGCCTAAGGCGCACATGAGCAATTGCACCTGCTCCTAATTTAGGCCAGGAATTAGTACAATGAGGGCACAGTACCCTCCCTTCCATCAACTGAATCTTAGTGAGGGCAGGAAAGTGGGAAGAAGGCAGAACCCGGATGAGGATGGAAGCGGCCTGAGGGAAATGGCAGGTGTGATGCAGGGCAGCACTGAAAAGAAGTGTACACAGGTGTGTGAGAAGGGAAAGGGCCACGTGCACAGTTCCCCTCAGACCCGCATGCCTCGCCCACTGCCTACTTGGCGTGGCTGTCCCTCACAGAACTCTCCAACTGAGGCAGGGGAGGGCGGAGGGGAATTACCAATTCCATGGCTTTCATGAAACACAGAGCTCCACCCAGTGTTTGCTTTGGCAGACTTATTTTTTTCTCTCAAAGCGTAGCCCATGTAGTCCTATGATAAAGCATGTTTTGTTCTAAAGATTTACAGTGTTTTCCCAATGAAAATTCTAATTGACAACCACTGGGATACTAACAATACAAAGCAAAGAGGCTCCAGTCTCCCCCATTCTTCCAAGATCCATCTCAAAGAAGCACTCGCTCTTTAGGTCTCCCGGACCAGAATTGAGCTCAATCTTTATTTGGTCACATGCTTAAGTAGATGCTTAGATATTAGAAGTTTATCGTCCACAGTAGTCAAATCTTGAAAACCAAAAAATCTATCCTTTCAAACTTCAAAGACAGAAAATCTCATTTAATTTCCAGGCTCAGAATATCAGCTCCTTCCATTCAGAATAAGAATACCATACAAAAATGCATGCACTGTGCCTTCCCCATATAAAAGGGGGAGCCTAAAAAATAAATACATAAATAAAATGCACGATGAGCTCTTCAGAAATAGTTGAACGAGAATATCAGAGGGCAGTTATTCAATGGATTTAATATAGAATAAAAGTTCAAGTAGCAGAGGGAGTGATTTTCATATGAATGTTGGGTGTTGCCAGTCATACAGAAGAACCCATCGTCTACACAGGGAACCAAGTCACATCAAGCAAGTCAGGGGAGCTGTGAGTGACAAGGTATAGAGAGGGCTGTTCAGATAAGGGACAGACATTACTGGAATGTTTTACAAAGAAAACTTTGAAGATTTTGTTAGGCTTTCTTTGTTGGGCTGTCATGAGGAACAAAACCATTGTAAATGAGTGGTGTTCAGTGGCCACATTACTGCCACTTATAGACCAGCTGCCAATGGCTGCCCATGTTGAGGGATTAGCATTAAAGAAGGACTAGAGGTTACCGGGCTGACACACAGCCCAAGGAGAACACTCTCAAATCAACAAACACACAAATCAAAATCAAAAAAAGTACTGTTTGGGGGGGCGGTGGGGAGGAGCAGTAAGAAACAAATCCTTATTCCTTTCTGAATCTGCTGCTTCTCCCAACATGGTCCCCCCAATCAGAACAAACAAAGAATGCATGTCCAGTTACACAGACTAAGCAACGTGAAACCAGTGTTAGAGGTGGAGAGAGTGGCACAATTCACCCTCTCTTTTCCAAAGAAAAGGCAGAGAAGGAACTAAGCAGGGGAAAAGTGCAGCTGAACGGGCAAGGTCTAGTGTCCACCAGGAGCTGTTTAATGTCAACATGTGTAAAGGAAAGGGTTTTGGAATCTGCAGTTCTGAAACTGTGGGCCTTGGAACTCCAGGCGCTGTGCGGGTGAAGCCTCGGAGGCAGCTACAACCTGCGAGAGGGTTCCACCCTTCTTGTCAGCCCAGCTCCAGCAAAGCTGACCTATATTGTGTGTTGGGTTCTGATTAACATGCTTTCTGATTAAAAAGTCCTATTAACATGACAAAGTCACAGCTAACATGGCTGAAAAGCATTAGAACAAAAACACCTTGTGGTTTTTTCCTTTGTTAATATATGGGTTTTGTGTGCCTCTCTGAATTACTGATACAGGTTCTCTTATTACCATGTCGACAGTGCGGAAGGAAACTCTAAAATGACATGCACCTCAATATGACATGGGTCAATAACTGACATGATAAACACCCAAGAACATCTAAACCTGGAACTCTCTTTGAAGAATAAACTTTCCTGTTTAAGAAAAAGGGGTGGGGAACTTCATTACTATTTGAATTCTTTGTCCATAGAACATCAAGTTCTTCATTTTTCACTTCCTAAACGCGAACACTTACCCTGGTGTGAAGAAATGAATAGCCACAAGTTCTGCCCAACAGGCAAATCTGTTCGGGACCGGGAAGCCTAACACCATGACAAAGCCTCCAGGGAAATAGTGGTTGTGAAGAACTTTCAGAGCAAACAAAACTCCTGAAAAATAAAAAAACACATAAGTATTAGCAAAGCACATGTGTGGAGAATCAACATTTACAAAGGAAACTAATTAAAACTGAAAGTGATTGTGCGATGATGCCCAGCTTCTTGCTCTGGCATATACTCCGATCCTTACAACTCAGCAACTGCTACAAAGAAAAGCTCCCGGGCACTGCAGGCTCTGCTGCGCCTTCACACCGCAGGCCATACTGACTTGCACTAGATGCTGCTAAATACACAACACGTCAAACAGGAATGAAACATCAGTTACAGCATTAAATGCCAGTGAATCTGGGCTTCAACAGTTGGCTTTATTCTATCTTAACTTAAACTAAATACAAAAATAATCAGTAACATGTTTTTCCAATCTCTAAAGAAATATCTGTGAGGGCAGGGTCTGTTTTCATCTCCCACAGTCAGCTGCATAACGATCTATCTACAGGGAAGCAAAAAGGCACGGAAAATGAGGGAAGAACTAGACTTCCTTAGCTTAGGACCACTTCCCTTCTTCTGCTCACATTCCAGTATGTACAACAACTAGTTTAACTGCCAATGACAGTTCCATCTCATGCATACTTGTGGAAAAGTGAGAGACAACGGACTATATAAACATGAACACTGGCTTCAAGGCTAACACTTCCACTTACTTAGCTTTTTAACCTTAAACTACTTACTTGACATTCCTGGATTTTAGCTTCCCCATCTACAAAAGCAAAAAGCATCATCTCCCCACGCACCTGCTGTATGAACTAAATGGGATGAGTCATGGAGGGTGAGCTCATCGTGCTTGGAATGGCAATATTGGCAGTAATTCATAACTATTGGATGATCAAAACCACTTGAGCAAGACCCTTGGAGCATGCCCCACATCAGGGACCTGGGATGGGTGGGAGACTGGGTGGGACTTCACCCTTTACCTCCCCCTTTACCCTATATAGGGAAAAAAAATGTGGAAATAATAGTTTTACCCACTTTCCTATAGCCCTTGAACCTTTGTGCCCTAATTAACTATGTAAAGATTGTCCAAAAAAATGGGGGAAAAAAAAGAAAAAAAGAAAAAAAGCCTGGTGAGTTTGCAATGGCAGAGCTGTTACCTCTACTGCAATGACACAATGGAGAAGCAGATGTCATTCAGCTCTCCAAGCACCTTGAATACTCCAATTCTTCCCTTTTCCTACTTGGAGTTCTCAAGTACAATGGTAAAATGTGCTGGAACCATGACACCTGGAGAGGAAGCAGCAGCTGGCCGGGAGGACTGTGCTCTGCTCGTCCTGGAATGGGCTGTCCCTCAAAGCTCTGCGCAGGGATTCATGAGAGCCTCGGCGACATAGCCCAGGGCAGGGTGTCTTCTGGGTCTGTCCTCTGGGAAAGCAGGCACTCCACCTGCCTCCGGTAGCTCTCAGAGCCTTGCGACATCGATTCAAAATGAACGTCAGGCTTCTTGTTTCTCTTGCTGACCACCTGATCTTTCACGGACGGATGTCTGGTCCCACTGGACTGAGATACGCTGACAACCAGCGCACGGAGAAGTTGCTTCGCCGGCACAGGCATCTGTTTTCAAGAACTCCTAATCACAAATACACTCATGGATCCCTCACTGACTGACCACGATGGGGCCAAAGCGCATGTGGCCAGGCTTACGTCTCACCCAAAACACCCTGCAAGCAAAGAGTTGGATGTGCCTGAGCACAAACTGATTTCCCCCTGAAGCTCCCCTTCAGGGTGCAAGCGGCAGCAGCCCTCCCCTCTCAGAACTCAGACCCCTTACCAACCATGAACCCGCAAAGCACACCTCCCTCTCAGGCTACATCAGCAGCACACAGGACTTACCTGAGAAGCCTACAGCACAGTTCCTTCTGAGGTCAGGTTCGTTCATTAATTCAGCAAAAACAAACTGCAACAGCATATACACCACTCCTGTGAGTACAGAAAATGTGGCGATGATGTAGGCAAACCATTTACTTCCCAGTCTTCTTTCCAGATTGAATCCTTTAAAGAGCATGGACACCATATTGAAATACAAATGCCAGTCGTCGGCATGGTGAAGGGGAGAAAGCAGCAAGCGCTGCCAGTCCTTCTGCTGGTAACAGCTCTCCACACTGATGCAGGAGCTGTACAGAGGCTTCAGGGGGTTCAAGAAAAACCAGACGTTGAGACCCAAGGTGGCGAGGGTGACAGGTGGAATATTGTTGAGTCCAACACGGAATATTTGAGAACAGAGAAGAATAAGCCCAGCATTAATCCCCCGTGATCTCCGCTGCATGGTTAGGTATAAAGAAAACAGCCCACTGATGGGAAGGCGTGGTCAAGTTCACAACTCCGGCAAGGTGTGCAGACAGCTGAGCCTAAAACAAAAAAGACACAAGAGGATCCATCAAAAGTGGAGAGGCACATTGAAAAGACACTGACTCAGAGATGAACCATCATCGGCTGAATTCCCCTTCCCATTCCAACAGAAAGCTGCATGCTCAGTGTTTCCAGGGTGTAACATCTAGAACGCTAGCTGATATTGTTGCTTCACTTCACATTCTGAAATACAAAGTTTAGCTCAAATCCCAAGAGATCAGTTAATGAACAGGCATGCTTTCTCTGATAAATATGTCATGATATTATAAATATCCTTCCTTATAAATAAATCTGTAACCTAATGAGAGACCTATGGAAGTAATAAAAAAATTAAAGAATGGTTTATATCTGAAATCCAAACAAGGTTTCTTTTATATTCTTCATTCTTTAGAAAAATATTCAGTTTTGATATAGTAAAATGAGCATGTATCAGGTTTTTAAGCATCAATCAACAAATTTTAAAATTTTAACCATTTTTACCATTTCCCACAATGCCAGCCCCCTCCTCTTCCCTTCCACTACCTCCCTCCACAACCATCACGGCAGTTCAGTCCTCTGGCAGCAGCTCTAACTCCAGCACTCTGCTTCCCACATGCACCAAGCCATTACAGGTAGAGACAAAGGCAGAAAATCTAGCATCATGTTACTGACGTATATTTAACAGTTTCATTGAGAGTCCTCCCTTTTTTTTTTTTTATTGTTGCTTACATTGTATTATGTAGTACAGTTTTATAGGCGCTGGGGATTCCCCCCACCCCTCCCATACCCCTCCCCCCATGGTGGATTCCTCCACCTTGTTGCATAACCATAGTTCAAGTTCAGTTGAGATTCATTGCTTGCAAACACATGCCTAGCGTAAAGTTCAGCGTCTTATTGTCCAGATAAGTTCAGTGGCCTCTTGGGGAGACCTTCTATGGTCTGAAGATAGGTCTAACAGAGTAAAGATCCGGTCAGTTAAAAACCCCAACAAGGCCTCAGTATCAATATACAACATTATGTAATTAATTGACATAGTATTGGGTAAACAATATGTTAAAAATAATGCAAGTTCCATTCTTCGAAACATCTGGGTTGAGACAATATCAATGACAGGTTCAAAAAATAACAAACAACCAAACAAAAAATTACAGGTTAAATCAAGGCAAACATGTGGTATCTAATCTTTTGGGATTCACTCATTTTCCTTAGCATTATAGTTTCCAGTTGTGCCCATTTAGCCACAAAGAACTGCATTTTGTTTTTTTTTAATAGCTGAGTAGTATTCCATGGAGTAGATGAACCAAAGCTTTCTTATCCAATCTTCTGCTGATGGGCATTTTGGTTGCTTCCATGTTTTTGCAATTACTGATTGTGCTGCAATGAACATAGGGAGTCCTCCCTTTAATCGGGAATAGAAATGCACATTGCTAGCCTCCATTACACAGTTTATTTTAGAGAAAAACATACATATATATACATATATATAAAACTTATATGTGTATGTATATATGTTATATATATACATTTATTCACACACTTATTCACCTATATATCTACTTGCTTTATATTTTGCTTATATGTTTCCTTATACCAGAGAGAACATATGATATTTATCCTTTTTGGATTGGCTTATTTCACTGAGCATAACACTCTTCACTTGAGACCATTTTGTTGTAAATGGTGCAATTCTACCCTTTTTAATGGCTGAGCAGTATTCCATAGAGTAGATCTACCACAATTTCTTTATTCATTCCTCTTCTGACAGGCATGTGGGTTGTTTCCCTGTCTTTACTGCTGTGGATTGTGCTGCTATATAGAGTTGCAGGTCATTTTCTCATCTGCATATCCCATTTCCTTTGCATACATTCCCAACAGTAAGATAGCCAGGTCATATAGATCAGTTTTCAATTGTCTCAGCATTCCCCATACTGACTACCACAGTTGTTGTACTTGCCTATATTCAGACCAACAATGGAGTGAAATACTCTATAAGATACATGCATTGGCAAAGACTTTTTAGAAAAGTTATCAAAAACGCAGGTCCTTAAAAATAACAAACAAATGAGATGACATCAAACTAAACTTTTTGTACAGCAAAGGAAATGATCAAGAAGCGACAGAATGAGAGAAAATATTTGCACACTACACAGCCAATAGGTGACTAGTATCCAGGATTTATAAAGAGCTTCAGAAACTCAATGACAGCAAAACAAATAACCCTTTTGTGAAATGGGTAAAGGAAATGAGCAGCCATATTTTGAAAGAACAAATTCAAAGCGCTAATAGATACATGAAAGAATGATGAGGGGCCTGGCCTGGGAGCCTAACCCGCTCAAGTTCTCACCTTGCACACATCGCAATCCCATATGAACACTGGTTTGTATCCCAGGGCCCCGCACCCACCCAGCTCCCGGCTTGTGCTCTGGGAAAGCAGTCAAGAACAGCCCAGAACCTTGGGGCCCTACACCTGAGTGGGAGGCCTGGAAGGGGCTCCTGGTTCCTGGCTTTGGATTGGCTCAGCTCCAGCCATTGCGGGCTACTTGGGGAGTGAATCAGCTGACGTAAGACTTTTTTCTTTGTCTCTCCTCCTCTCTGTATATCCGACTTTCAAATAAAATAAAATAAGTCTTAAAAGAAAACATACTCAGGCTCTCTAGTTATTAGGGAAATAAAAATAAAAACGCATTGGGATTCTACCTAACTCCAGTGAGATTGGCCTACATTCAGAAATCTACTAACAACACCTGCTGGCATTGATGTGGGTGAAAAAATAAACAAGTTTTAAAATGTAAACATTATCTGGGCTCAGCATGATAGCTGGTAGCCTAGTGGCTCAAGTCCTCACCTTGCATGTACCACACAATCCCTATGGGTGCTGGTTCATATCCCAGTTGGTCCACTTTCCTTATAGCTCCCTGCCTGTGGTCTGGGAAAGCAGTAGAGGATGACCTAAAGCCTTGGGACCCTGTGCCCACATAGGACCCGGACAAAGCTCCTGGCTCCTGGCTTCAGATCAGCTCAGTCTTGACCATTGTGGCCACTTAGGAAGTAAACTAACATATGGAAGATCTTTCTCTCTGTCTCTCCTTCTCGTTGTAAATCTGCCTTTCCAATAAAAATAAATATCTTTTTATAAAAAAAAAATATATTCATTCCAACAGTTTCATTGGGAGTCAATCTTTGATTTGGAAGTAGGGATGCATACTGCATTGTATCTTCACATCTGAATATGGTAGTCTCTATTACACCATCACTATCCATTCCCTTAAATGAGAAGCCACAAAACAAAGTCAGCAACAGGTATGAAGTTAAAACAAAAAATTTACAGCACCATGGAGTTGAAAGATGTACCACTGAATAACCAGCACGTGGATGAAGAAAACGCAAATGCTTCTTGGATAAAAAAAAAAAAAAAAGATATAATCATTATCTTCTAATCTCAACTGCCACATTTCCAGATATTGATTGCCTGAATGCTTTATTTTCACAAAAATTTTAGCTTCTAAAAATGATCTATTTACATGTCAAAGCCAAACACATTCCCTGGTTTTAAGGATCTCATTTTCCAATAATTAAGCCAACAACTGACACATAATACTCTAAATGCAGTAGGGAGAAAGTCTGACATGGCATCAGGCCTGGATGCTGATATTACCAGAGTCATTTTTATTTTAATTTAATTTTTTTTAACTGTTTGAAGAGTTACAGAGAGAGGGGGCTCATCTATCTGCTGGTCTACTCCCCAGATGGCTACAGTGGCCTAAACTGGGCTGTTTCGAAGCAGGAGCCACCAGCTTATTCCAAATCTCCTACAGATGCAGGGGCCCAGAGATGAGCCATTTTTGCAAGAAGCCAGATAGAAAACGCAGCAGTTGGAACACAAACTGGTCCCCACAGCCAAGATTGTGGATAAGAGTCAGAGGCCCAGTGTATTACAGCATGGCAAGGCTCCAACTACAGTTTTAAAAGGTGAATTGGAGGATTCAACTGGAATCAACTCACGTTGACTTGCAGGAAACCCCCACCAACCATAGAGATAAGTCTGTGTTGGCCTGCTAGATGAAAAAATACCATCACCAGTTTTATTCACCTTAATGATCCTAGCCATTGGCTAACCCATCCCTCAAAAGAAAACCTGTCCAGCTGACCACAGGCACATAAATGATTCCAGTTGAGTCCAGAATAATTTGCTGATTCGCAGAAGAGTGAGGTACATAAATTGCTCTTGATTTACTTCACCAAGTGATTTATTACACAGCAAAGACTACTACAGAAAACATTCGTTTTGCAGAGGGATAGGGTTATGCTCATAAAGAGAAGCCAGTTAGGAGGGAAACGAGAACACTAACCATCCAGAAGATAAATTAAGATTCAAGTAATTAGAAAGAAGAACCATTTCCTTATAGCAGAAAGAAGAAAGACATTTTAGGATAGATATGGGTAATTAGGCAAATGTGGGAGTACATAGGGGGTTTAAAACTTTCATAGAATGCCTTCTATGTTCTCTATGGATTTAGTTTTGGTCTCTAACCAGGTAATAACTCACTGGTACAATCTACTATTTGCTTGATTTCTAAAAACTGAACTATCCTCTCTCACAGAATGATGATTCAGCCATTCGTTCTATCACTCATCAAGAAATACTTAACATCTGTCAAGTGTCAAATACATGCCAGTCCCTACATCAAGCAAAAGAGTTATAGCAAAAAAATAATGTTTAATCCCAGCTCATAAATAATTGCTACAGTTTGGATACAGCTGAATTGCATCATCCCAAAGAGTCACAGGATCAGAGGTTTGGTGCCCAGCATGGTGACATTAGGAGGTGGTGGAATCTTCAAGAGATGGGCCAAGAGGGATTTCCTTGGGCCACTGGCATGGGGAGGTGTTCTCACAAGGTAATCACTTTCCTGATGCAGCCATCCTGTATGAAGGATGACAGCACTCACAAGGTAACTCTGAAACTCACTAGCTCTATGTGAAGATCAAATCTGTAACTTGACCTTGCAGGTCAGGCTGC